ATGTATTTATTGTTGTGAATAGTGCTTTGATAAACATACATGTGCATGTATCTTTATAATAATGATTTATAGTCCCTTTGGATATATACCCAGTAATGAGATTGCTGGAATATCAATGAAATATTAAATTATATTTCTGCTTCTAGATCTTTGAGGAATTGCCACATTATCTGCCACAATGGTTGAGCTGATTTACACTTCCACCAACAGCGTAAAAGTGTTCCTTTTTCTGTGCAACCTTGCCAACCAACCTCTGTTGTTTATTCACTTTTTAATAAGTGTCATTCTGACTGGTGTGAAACGGTATCTCATTGTCGTTTTTCGTTTTGATGTGCATTTATTTAATGATCAGTAATGCTGAGCTTTTTTCATATGTTTGTTGGCAACATGAATGTCTTCTTTAAAGAAGTATCTGTTCATGCCCTCTGCCCACTTTTTAAAAGGTTGTTTTTTACATCTAAATTTGTTTAAGTTTTTTGTAGACTCTAGATATTAGACCTTTTTCAGATGGATAGGTTGCAAAAATTTTCTCCCATTCTGTAGGTTGTCCATTCACTCTGGTGACAGTTTCTTTTTCTCTGCAAAGCTCTTTAGTTTAATTAAATCCCATCTGTCAATTGTTGCTTTTGTTGCAATTGATTTTGGCATGTCTGTCATGAAAGCTTTGCCTTTGCCTATGTCCTGAATGGAATTGCCTAGATTTTCTTCTAGGGTTTTTACAGTTTTGGGTTTTGCATTTAAGTCTTTAATTAATCTTGAGTTAATTTTTTGTATATGCCGTAAGTAAGGGGTCCAGTTTCAATTTTCTGCATATGGCTAGCCAGTTTTTCCAGCACTATTTATGAAACAGGGAATCTTTTCCCCATTGCTTGCTTTTGTCAGGTTTCTTGCAGATCTGATGGTTGTAGGTGTGCGGTCTTATTTTCGAAATCTCTATTCTTTTACATTGGTTTTTGTGTTTGTTTTTGTACCAGTACTATGCTCTTTTGATTACTGTAGTCTTGTAGTATAGTTTGAAGTCATATAACCTGATGTCTCCAGTTTTCCTCCTTTTGCTTAGGATTGACTTGGCTATTTGGACTCTTACTTGGTTCCATAAAAATTTTAAAATAGTTTTTTCCATCTGTGAAGAACGTCAATGAAGTTTAATGGAAATAGCATTGAATCTACAAATTACTTTTGGTGGTATGGCTATTTCCATGATATTGATTCATCCTATAAATGAGCATGAAATGTTGTTCCATTTGTCTGTGTCTTCTCTGATTTCCTTGAGCAGTGGTTTGTAGTTCTCCTTGAAGAGGTCCTGCACTTCCCTTATGAGCTGTATTCCTAGGTGTTTTTTTTCCTGTTTGTAGCAACTGTGAATGGGAATTCATTCATGATTTGACTCGCTGCTTGTCTGTTGCTGGTGTATAGGAATGCTCATGGCTTTTGCACATTGATTTTGTATCCTGACACTTTGCTGAAGTTGTTTGCCAGCTGAAGAAGCTTTTGGGGTGAGATGATGGGGTTTTCTAGATAAAGGGTCATGTCATCTGCAAAAAAAAAGACAATTTGATTTCCTCTCTTCCTATTTGAATGTACTTTATTTCTTTCTCTTGACTGATTGCCCTGGCCAGAATTTCCAATACTACTTTGAGTAGGAGCGGTGAGAGAGGGCATCCTTGTCTTGTGCCCATTTTGAAGGGGAATGCTTCCAAGGGGAGTACTATTTTGCCCATTCAGTATGATATTGGTTGTGAGTTACTCATGTATGGCTCTTATTATTTTGCAGTATGTTCCTTCAATACCTAGTTTATTGAGAGTTTTTAACATGAGGGGATGTTGAATTTTACCAAAGGCCTTTTCTGTGGCTGTTGAGATCATCTTGTGGTTTTTGTCTTTAGTACTGTTTATGTGATGGATTACATTTATTGATTTACATATGTTGAATCAACCTGGCATCCTAGGGATGAGGCCAACTTGATGGTGGATAAACTTTTTGATGTGCTGCTGGATTTGTTTTGCCAATATTTTATTGAGGATTTTTGCATCAATGTTCATCAGGGATATTGGCCTGAAGTTTTCTTTGTTGTACGTCTGCCAGGTTTGGGTAGCATGATAATGGTGGCCTCATAGAATGAGTTAGGGAGGGAGTCCCTCCTTTTCACTTGTTGGAAATAGTTTCAATAGAAATGGTACAAGTTCTTCTTTGCACTTCTGGTAGAATTCAGCTGTAAATCCATCTGGCCCTGGGGCTTTTTTGGTTGGTAGGCTGTTTATTACTGCCTCAACTTCATAACTCATTTTTGGTCTATTTAGGGATTTAATTTCTTCCTTGTTCGGTCTTGAGAGGCTATATGCATTCAGGGATTTATCAAGTTTTTCTAGATTTTCTAGTTTATGTGCCTGTAGGTGTTTATAGTACTTTCTAATGGTTGGTTGTATTTCTGTAGGCTCAGTGGTGATATTTCCTTTATCATTTCTGATTGTGTCTCTTTGACTCTTCCCTCTTTTCTTCATTATTAGTCTAGCTACAGGGCTATATATTTTATTAATTTTTTTCAATAAAACAGCTCCTGGACTCATTGATTTTTTTTAAGGGTTTTTTATGTCTCTATCTTCTTTACTGCCACTCTGATCCTAGTTATTGCTTGTCTTCTGCTAGCTTTGTTTGCTTGCTCTTGGTTCTCTAGTTCTTTTAGTTGTGATGTTATGTTGTTGATTTGAGATCTCTGTAATTTTTTGATGTGGGCATTTCGTGCTATAAATTTCCTTCTTAACACTGCCTTATCTGTATCCCAGAGATTCTGCTATGGTGTCTCTTTGTTCTCATTAGTCTCAAAGAACTTCTTGATTTCTGCATTGATTTTGGTATTCATCCAGTAGTCATTCAGGAGCAGGTTGTTCAGTTTCCATGTAGTTGTGTGGATTTGAGTGAGTTTTTAAGTCTTGAGTTCTAATTTGATTGCACCGTGGTCTGAGAGATTGTTTGTTATAATTTCAGTTCTTTTGTATTTGTTGAGGAATGTCTTACTTCTGAATATGTGATCAATTTTAGAATAAGTGCTGTGTGGTCATGAGAAGAATGTATACTTTATTGTTTTTGGGTGGAGAGTTTTGCAGATGTATCTCTCAGGTTCACTTAATCCAGAGCTGAGTTCAGGTCCTGAATATCTTTGTTAATCTTCTGTCTTGATGATCTGTCTAATATTGTCAATAGGGTGTTAAAATCTCCTAGTATTATTATGTGAAAACCTAAGTCTCTTTGTAGGTCTCTAAAAACTTGCTTTATGGATCTGGGTGCTCCTGTGTTTGGTGCATATATATTTAGGATAGTTAGCTCTTCTTGTCGAATTGAACTCTTTACCATTATGTAATGCCCTTCTTTATCTTTTTTTTTTTTTTTTTGCTTTTTGTTGGTTTAAAGTCTGTTTCGTCGAAAATTAGGATTGCAAACCCTGTGTTTATTTTGTTTTCCATTTGCCTGGTAAATATTCCTCCATCTCTTTATTTTGAGCCTGTATGTGTCTTTGCATGTGAAATGGGTCTCTTGAAGATAGCATATCAATGGGTCTTGATTCTATCCATCTTGCCATTCTGTGTCTTTTAATTGGGGCATTTAGCCCATTTACATTTAAGGTTAATATTGTTATGTGGAATTTATTCTGTCATCATGATGCTACCTCATTATTTTGCAGACTTGTTTGCATGGTTGCTTCACAGTGTCATTAGTCAGTGTATTTTTATAGTGACTGGTAACGGTTTTTCCTTTCTGTATTTAGTGCTTCCTTCGGGGGCTCTTGCAAGGCAAGCCTGGTGGTGATGAATTACCTCAGGATTTGCTTGTCTGAAAAGGATCTTACTTCTCCTTTACTTATGAAGCTTAGTTTGGCCAGATATGAAATTCTGGGATAGAAATTATTTCCTTTAAGAATGTTAAATATTGATCCCCCATTTCTTCTGGCTTGTCAGGTTTCCACTGAGAGGCCCACTGTCAATCTGATGGACTTCTGTTTGTAGGCGAGCTGGCCTTTCTCTCTCTCTGCCTGCCCTTTACATATATTTTTTTTTTCATTTCAACCTTGGAGAATCTGATGATTATGTGTCTTGGAGTTGATCTTCTCATGGAGTATATTATTGGGGTTTTCTGAATTTCCTGAGTTTGAATGTTGACCTGTCTTGCTAGGTTAGGGAAGTTCTCCTAGATGATATCCTGAAGTACGTTTTCAAACTTGATTCCATTTCCCTGGTCTCTTTCAGGTACTCCAATCATAGGTTCAGTCTTTTTACATAATCCCATATTTCTTGGAGGTTTTATTTGTTTCTTTTCATTATTTTTCCTCAATTCTTGTCTGCCTATCATATTTCAGAAAGATAGCCTTCAAGTTCTGATATTCTTTCCTCTGTTTGCTCTATTCTGCTATTGATCCTTGTGATTGCATTGTGAAATATCTTGTGTTTTGTTTTTCAGGTACATTAGATCAATTATGCTCCTCTCTAAACTGGCTATTCTAGTTATCAGCTCCTTTATTGTTTTATCATGATTCTTAGCTTCTTTGCATTGGGTTAAAAACTGTTCCTTTAACTCAGTGATGTTCTTTATCACCCACCTTCTGAAGCCTAGTCATTTCAGCCATCTCAGCCTCAGACCAGTTCTGTGCTCTTACTGGAGAGGTGTTGTGGTAATTTGGAGGAGAAGAGGCATTCTGGCTTTTTGAGTTTTCATCGTTTTTGCATTGATTCTTTCTCCTCTTTGTGGGCTTATCTACCTTCAATCTTTTAAGTTGCTGACCTTTGAATGGGGTTTTTGTGGGGTCTTTTTTTTTGTTGATATTTTTGTTGTTGCTTTCTCTTTGTTTGTTTTTCTTTTTAATAGTCAGGCCACTTTTCTATACGGCTGCTGCAGTTTTTTTCCCTTACCTAGAGGTATCACCAATGAAGGCTCCGAAACAGAAAAGATGTCAGCCTGCCCTTTCCCCTGGGAGCTCTGTCCTGGTGGGGGGAGGGGGAACACTCACCTGATGCTGACCCAAATACTCCTGTAGGAGGTGTCTGGAGACTTCTGTTGACAGGTCTCATCCAGTCAGGAGGAATGGGATCAGGTACCACTGGGTGGCCATTGGCACAGCCAGTGCACTGCAATGGGGGGAAAATCCCATGTCCAGACCACCCAGACTCTCTAGAACCAGAAGGTTGAGAGACTAATTTCTTAATATGATATTGAGTAGTAGCTATGAACATGGTCTCAGACTTAGGTTCTAGTCTGCATCCACTTTTTAACCGGATAGATCTTGGGCATGTATCTTAACTATGCTTCATATTTCTCATTTGTGAAATGGAAATTATAGTGGTAACTAGAGTCAGGTATTGCATAATGACATTCTGAGTAAGAATGGGCCATATACACTGTGGTGGTCCCATAAGATTATATTTTTACTGTACCTCTTCTGTGTTTAGATATAGTTAGATAAACAAATATTAAACACTGTGTTACAATTGCCTATAATATTCAGTATAGTAACATGCTTATAAGTTTGTCACCTAGGAGCAATAAGCTATACATATAACCTAGGTGTGTAGTAGGCTATATTGTTGTGGCGTTTTGACTCTCACAGTTTGGTGGGCAGGAGTGTTATAGCTCTTTTACTCTTGCTGTCCATGGCTCAGTGAGCAGGAATGTTACAGCTCTTTTGCTCCCACAATTCAACGAGTTACGAGTTCTCGTCCCATAGCCAAGAGTAATAAGGTACATGGACACGGGGGCGGGTGGTGGGGTGGGCAAGGCAGAGTAGAATTTGTTGAATGAAAGAAAAGCTCTCAACGGCAAGAGGGGACCCCAAAGAGGGTAGCCGTATATGAGGCTGAATCCAGGGTTTTATGAACTTAGAATGGGGGGAATGCATGCTGATTGGTTTATGGGTGGGCTTGGGAAAGGAACCATTTGATTGGTTAAAAAGCATCATTCAGAAAGAACCAATAGAGAGAGAGTAGGTAAGATGGAAATAGAAGTTCTCATTCTGGTCTGTGAATTCTACCTGGAACTGTTGCTTGGTTTTCAGGCTTTAGACTGTTCTTTCTTGAAGGTTGAGTTTCAACCGGGACCCCATCCCTGTCTGCATTGTCTGTTTCCTGTTGCTATCAATATCATCTAGGTTTGTGTATGTATACTGTATGATGTTCACACAAAGACACAATTACCTAAAAGTGCATTTCTCAGAATGTGTCTTCATTGTTAAGCGATGCATAACTGCATATTTAAAAGTTCTGTCAGAATTAAATGAACTAGTCAATGTAAACATATTATCAAAGTTTTTGGCATATAGTAAAAGTTCAATACATTTTAACTATTACTATTATAGCATAGATGAATTTCTTTCTACAATTCAACTGTGGAATACTCTTTTTTTCAGTTTTCCTAGATTAACTTAATTTTAAACTCTGTGACCTGATTTCACTTCAGTGAAATTTAACTTCAAGTGGAAAATTTTACTTCATCTAACTGTGGGGTTTCTCTCTATCTCTGAGTTTTGCTATGATGCCAAGATCCCAGAATTTTTGGTAGTATCAAAAATGACATGGAGAAGATTATCTGGTTACCCATGATCTGTCCAGGTCAGTTAACAAGGAGGCACCCGTTGTCCCATCCTGTAGTGTCCCTTAATATCCTTTGCTGTATTGTGACCTGTTTCAGGCAGAAGAATCTTTGGCAAGTCTTGGATTTCCAGGCCTCATTCACTCCCTGATGAACACTAGGGCAAATGTTTATTCCAAGCTCTGGATACCACCTCTAACCTGTGACCCCATAGCCCTCTCTCCCTCCTTCTTCAATCTTGGAAACTTCCTAAATCAAACAAAGAAACAAGAACCTGTTAACAGCTTTGAACGAAGAAACGGGAAAAAAAATTTAAGGGAGAAAGCGTAGATTTGATATTTTTAGAAAGTCTTTCAAAAATATTTAAGATATACTTAATATATTCTAAAGATATTTAAAATATACTTTAGAGAAACTGTACCTTTGACCATGCCCTCACCTACTTAGCACCCCTGGTTTTTCTTTATAGTCATATCCTTAGTGATATATTTTCCCATGGCATGTAAAAGATATTGAAAACTCATCCATGAGGGAATATTATGTGACTCTTCTGTTATTGTTCTTGCCTTAGCTCTTATTGTATTCTTTCTCCCACTCCACCCACCTCATATTGAAGAGGAGTTAGGTGGAATCACCATTTTTACAAATAAACATTAAATTCTGTACTTTCTCATTTCCTTCTTTTTCATGGCAGAGTCCCAACAGTACCCATGTGAAACAGGCAGACCTCATATCAGGTGCAGAAAACAAGAGAGGGCGGTGCTTGTTGTAAGAAAAAAATACTGGTTACACTACCCGACAAGATATCTTTAAATAAGTGCATTTAAATAAATGGCCTTATTTAATTTGAATATTAAATGACATTGGGATACATTGATGATTGCTATCTGTTAAAACTAAGTTCCAGAATATACTTCAAATTTTCCAAATTTGAGAAAAATTGCCAACATAGGGTTGTAGTATATTAGCTCTCAAAAAAGCATACCTTTATTCCACCATGGGAAGAAGCATAAAGGACCCAGAAAAAGAATTCAGATATTATACTGTTAAAGTTAAGAAAGGGTAAAATTTCATATTAATGTGTCCTTCTGGTTATTTGAAGAATTTTACCTTTGAGGTGACTATATTAATAATAAAAGTTTGCTTTATGTTTATTTATATGGGGCTCAAAATTTGGAAATTTATTTTGTTACTTTTATCATTTGATCTTTAGAACAACTCTATGAGATAAGCAGAGAAAGTATTACAATTATTTATTTCCAGATGAGAAAATCTAGGCTTAGAGAAGCTTGATCAGAGAAGAGATGCTCAAGGTTATATATAGAGATTTTAAGTGCTGGGCCCAGCACCTCAAATCTGGCCTTTTGATTCAAACCCAGTACTCATTTCATTTATAATCTGAGGACAGGTTATAAATCTGAGGTGGCAAATAGCATCCACTTTGCATGCCAACCCTGATAAATTGGAAAGTGTACTTGAGATGAGTCCTGAAGGACATACAGGACATAGTCAGGTGCACCTGGGGCATTTCAGGTGAAGATGACTATATAGATACAGGCGCAGAGATAGAAGACTACATATGACATTTAAGGATCTCCAAGTATTTCTCTTTAAACTAAAAATGCCTCTTATTTTAATATTGTTTTCTTTGCCTTCTGACTCTTCAATGGAAAATCCTCCTTGATTATGCCAAGCTCCTTTGAGCCTCACCATGGCTCACTACAGCTGGGTCTCCACAGTCATGTCAGGCCTCTGGATCATTTATTCAGAGTTACTGCCAGGTTAACCCGATGGCAGTTAATTGATGTGTCTTTCTAGAAATTTGTTCTGGATAATTAGAGAAAGACTTCGTCACGCTCAGTGTCTGACTATGAAATATTTTCTGATTCTATACCAATATTATGAACAAAATAAACAATCTACCTTGGTAATGAGGTTCAAAATGTTGTTATTTAATTAAAAGATTTGGGAGATTTAAAAAAAACATTTTCACTTAGTAATTTATGATAGTTGTGGCTCTGATGAAAATTAACATGATAATAATAATTATTACAGCCAAAATTATTTTGCCTTTGCTATGTTTCATAAACTGTCTTAATCACTTTACAAGAACTACTATATTACTTGTAATCCTTACAATAACATACTTATCTCCATTTTATAAATGAGGTAAATGAAGCCTAGAGATGTGAGTAACTTGAGATAAAGTCACAGAATCATTAAGAGATGGAACAGGTTTGCAAACTCATGTCTTTTTGTTCCCAGTTATGAGTGCTTTAACTATCACCCTTTTTAAAAATCATAGATGCTCAATTTTGCAGGTAAAATGACGAGAGCAGAGAGAAAAAAGAAAATCACCTTAAAATATATAAATATTTGAAAAAATAGAAAGTCTTTGCTCAATATGCATGTATGATGCATATTACTTATTATCACATGTAAACATGTCAATTTGGTTTAATTATATTCAGACTATTTTTTTCATCGTATCTTCCAGCAACCTTGCTTTTACTAATCCCACTTTATATTCTGACTCAAGAGTTTTTCTGAAATTCTGCTCCCAAATCAGTTTTTTAGGCCTTATTTGCCATAAGGACACTCTGAACCTGACTTGATTTTTGCTAAAAACAAAACAAAAAAACCACAAACAAACAAACAAACAGACAAACAAAAAAACCACTGGACTCCAGAATCATATATACTCAGACTCCCTTTGGCTTTTTCTAATGCTTGATGTTGTTTTCATACCAATATCTATTGACTGGTTTTTCTACTAACAGCTAATTTCCTTGGATTTCCAGAATATTGCATAAAAGAACATTACCAGTATGGCAAGTTTTCTGGTCAGCATTCAGACTTGTCCCTCCTGTGAATATCTTCCACTGCATGTGAGGTTAGCCTGAGTCAGGAAGATGTATCCAAGAGCTATAGTGATTCAGAATCACTGGCAAATCCACTTCTGCTAAGACAGAAAGCAAGAGTTCCAATGGATGATTACCAGATGGTTATTTTGTCTATGTTCTAATCTTGATGAGCAGAAAGTTGCTCAAGATAATAGAATCATTTGCCTCATATTCTTTGTTATGGAATAAACCTATTGATTGCTTTGGAATATTAGATATGATATAAGTGAAGTGCTTACCAGAGTACCTGTCACAAAGTATATGTGATAAAAAAAAATTCACTCCATTATCCTTCATTATTTCTTTAATAAGACCACGTGAATCATTACTTTCCTTTTTGGGAAACTCATGCACTGTCTTTCATGTAAAGATTATTAAAAATACCTATTTAGCTCTGCTCTTTTGGCCTATCTAAATGGTTCAGTCTTGAGTTCTATCAATTTCAACATTATCATGCAATTTTAAGAAACCATACTTTGGAGTGCTTCATGAAAATAGGTTATTATAAGGTAGATGTATACCATAGGTAGTGATGTTAACTGCCTCTTGACCTGAGAACTCCTTTGTACCTTAATTTTAAGAGTAGAGTCATGAACACTAAGAAAGGCATCGATAATGGGAATAAAAATGCATTCTTTCCGAATTCCTACCTTTGGTCTAGGGCATGTCCAACAAGCCACTTTCCAAGTGTTTATTAAATCAAGCAAGACAGTGTTTTTCACATGTCTTAATGCTTCTAGAATCAAATCAATTCAAAATAGGCCAGGAAGGGAAGTGTGTAAATCACAATTTACATTGAGAAATTGATTCCTTTCCCCAAATGAAACCGTGCTCCCTGTCAGAGTGCAGGAACATCAAAGCAACTATGAACAACGAAAATAAAATAGGGGTTTTGAAATGGAAACTGAACTTTTAATGCTTTGCTTATAGTGTACAGGATGTTATTTCAGGGTAAAAACAGTCTTCTTTTAAAATTTTTTCACTTTGGAATAAATTAATTATTTTATTAATGTTCATTGTTCTTTAGAATGACAACATTTATATTTTCTTACTGTGTAATCTTTCATAGATTTTTAAGTCTGTTAAAGGAAAATCAAGAAGTTTTTGGGTTTCATTTTGTTGTTTGGTTTGGATATTTTACAATAAAAATGCCTAACTAATCTTATGGGGATACAGACTCACGGATTTTAGCCAAGCCGAAGGCTTTGTTATGAAGTTTTTGGCCCAGAATAGTCAAGTGTGGTCTTTACAGGCTTATGCCTTTTTGATTTGACCCTCTGATGTATAACTTATAAATAAGTTGTGTAATCTAAATTCCAAATGAAGACTGGGTTAATTATATCCAGTCATCTTTCTTATTCCTAAATTGCAGCTTAAGTATGAGAGTTCAAGAAAAATTATGTTATATACTATGACATTTTATGTGATGAAAAATGATTCAAGTACTTTATACTGAAAAAATTAGTTTCCATGTTTTCTTTTGGTGAAATGAATCTTCTATCAGGTGTGACCACAATGGTAAAAGTAAGACACTGCACTTTAAAGGTCATATTACTAATTTGGGCACATTTACTTGTTAATCTGCATTAGTAAATAAAAAATCCAGTTTTTAGTTGAATAGGTTTTGGACAATAAAATGGACATGTAATATAAAACTTTATATGCTGTATTAAGTTGGTGTGTCTAGGTGTGAGTATAAACAAGCAAACAGAATGCTTCAAGAGTTAAAGTGGCATTTGAAAATATTATAAGAGGGCTTACAGGAATTATGGGAAATCATAATGCAATTATACCTTCACATAATAGAGGTTTCCAAAGAAGAAAAGGGAAAAGGGCCAAGAAGGACTGGTTGAAAATTTCCCTAATCTGTGGATAGATGCCAACAACCAGGTAGAAGGATAATATAACTCTCCAGTAAAGTTGAAACCAAAGAGGAATCCATGAAGACACATAATAATCAAGCTAACATAATCAAAAACAAAGAAAAAATTTGGACAGCATCACAAGATAAGAAACACATCACATACAAAGGTGTACCAATGCAATTGTCAATGGATTTCTCAGCAGAAACCCTACAGGCCAGGAGAGAGGGATGATATATTCAAAGTGCTCACAAAAAAAATCTTGCTAAGCAATAATAGTTTTCCCAGCAAAACTGTCTTTCTGAAATCAGGTAGAAATGAAAGCTTTCCCAGACAAACAAAAGCTAAGGGAGTTCATCACTGCTATACTTGCTTTATAGAAATTGCTATTGGGAGTTCTTTAAGCTGAAACAAAAATATAATAATAACATGGAACTACAAAAGTACAAAACTGAAGGTATAAAAAAATAGGGCTATATTCAGAATACTCTAGCGTTAAAATAATGATATGTAAGGCAATTTTATCCCCAGTATGAGGGTCAAAAGACAAAACTATGTGATTAGCTATAGATATTATAGCTAATAAGAACAAGAATAATATCTACAGCTGTAATTAATTGTCAAGAAATACACACTGAAAAATGACAAATTCTAAGGTCAAAAACATAAAATGTCGAAAGAGGAATAAAAGTGTAGAGTTGCTGTATGAAAAGTTAAGTTATTATTAGCTTGAAATAGTGTAAGAAATTCTACATAAGCCTTATGGTATCCACTAAGAAAAATCCTTAGTAGAAGTACAAAGCAAAAATGAAGGGATTCAAAGCATATAACTACACCAAAACATCAAACCACAAAGGAAGACAGCAAACAAGAGAGAAAGATATGAAGTAGCTACAAAAAAAAAAAAAGAAAAAGAAAAAGAAACAAACAAAAAACAGAAAACAACTAACAAACTGGTAGTAGTAAGTCCTTACCTATCAATAATTACTTTCTATGTAAACAAATTAAATTATTTAATAAAACATCATAGAGTGACTAAAGGGATAAAAAAAATAAGACCCACTATATGCAGCCTAGAAGAGACTTGCCTCAGCTTGAAAGACACATAGACTAAAAGGAAAGGGATGGAAAAAGCTATTCTAAACAAATAAAAAGGGAAAGAGAGCAGAGGCAGCTATATTTATATCAGACAAAAATAGACTTTAAGTCAAGAACTATAAAAAATGACAAAGAAAGACATTATATCATTATAAAGGGATCAGTTCTTCAAAAAGATATGACAATTGTAAATATGTATGTACCCAACATCAGAGCACCTACGTATATAAAATCAAATATTAAAGAATCTGAAGGGAGAAGAGGACTGCTCTATAGTAGGTGTCTTTCAACAATAAACAGATGACTGAGACAAAATATTAATATGAAAACATTGGACTTGAACAACACCCTAGACCAAATGTACCTGACATTTACAGAACATTCCATTCAGCAGCAACAGAATACACATTCTTCTCAAGCACACACAGATAATCCTTCAGGATAAATCACATGTTAGGGCAGAAAACAAGACTCAGCAAATTTAAGAAGATTGAAGTTATATCAAGTATCTTTTCCAACCACGATAGCATGAAACAAGAAACTGACAACAGAGGAATTAAAGAAAATTCACAAATATATAAAAATCAAACAACATGCTCCTAAATGAACAGTGGGTCAATAAATTAATACAGATATTTTAAAATATCCGAGACAAACAAAAATGGAAACAGAACATATCCAAACTTACAGGATGCAACAAAAGCAATTCTAAGAACAAAAGTTATAGCAATAAATGCCTACATCAAAAAAGAAGAAGTATCTCAAATAAACAACCTAATATCGTATCTCAAATAACTGGAAAAAAAGAAACTAAGCCCAAAGTTAACAGGAGGAAGAAAATAAAGACCAGAGCAGAAACAAATGAATTAGAAACTAGAAAAACAATACAATGAAACAAAAACAACAAAAAAACTAGAGTTGTTTTTTTTTAAAGTTAAATAAAACTGGCAAACCTTTAGCTAGACTAAGAAAAACCTCAGTAAATAAGATCAGAAATAAAACAGGAGACATTACAACTGATACCACAGGAATGCAAAGAACCATAAGAGCCTACCATGAACAACTATTTGCCAACAAATTGAATAACTTAGAAGAAATGGATACATTCCCAGACAAATGCAACCTACAAAACTGAATCATGAAGAAATAGAATATCTGAGCGAAAGAATAATGAATAAGAAGATTGAATCTGTGATAAAATCTCTCCCATTAAAGAAAAGCCCAGAACCCAATGGCTTCACAGCTGAATTCTATCAAACATCTTTAAGAACTAATATCTATCCTTTTCAAACTCTTCCAAAAAAAAAAAAAAAAAGGAAAGAAATATTTCCAAACTCTTTTTACAAGGCCAGAATTACCCTGATATCAAAACCGGACAAGGACATTACAAGAAAAGAAAATTGCAGTCTGATATTTTTGATGAACATAGATGCAAAAATCTTCAACAAAATACAAAAAAAAAAAAAAAATCTACAACACATTAAAAGGATCATTCACCATGATCAAGTACAATTTATCCCTGAGATACAAGTATGGCTCAAAATATGCAAATCAATACGTGTAATACAGTACATTAGCAGAACAAATGACAATAATGTGCCCATATGATCATCTCATTTGATGCAGAAAAAGCATTTGACAAAATTAAACATCTTTTCATGATAGAAACTCTCACCAAATTAGGTATAGAAGGAATGTATCTCAACACAATAAAGGACATCTATGAGAAGCCCACAGCTAATATTACACTCAGTGGTGAAAAGTTGAGACTTCCTTTAAGATCTGGAAAACAAGGAGGATGCCCACTGCTACATTTCTATTCAACATAGTATTGGAAGTCCTTCTCAGACCAAGTAGGCCACAAAAAGCCAGAAAATGCATTTAAATAGGAAAGAAGGAAGTGAAATTGTCACTGTTTGCTAATGATATGATCTTATATTTAGAAAACCCTACAAACTCCACCAAAAACTTGTAAGTGCTAATAAATGAATACAATAAAGTTGCGGGTTAATAAATCAACACACAAAAATCAGTACTGATTCTATACACTAACAACAAACTATCTGAAAAAGAAATCATCCAACTTACAAGGG